ATATTTGGGAAGGGGGGCGGGGGGGATTGTTTTCTACCTTCTCCCTGAAATTTCAAAATTTAATGTAATCAATACGAGGGAGGGAAAGACAAATATCCCCCTTCCCCGGTCTCTCAAACAGTTGCGACGCCTCCGGCGTAGCTGCGTGGCTTCAGGGAGACTTGTGAGCTTCGACGAGCAGTCTTGCTTTATAGCCTAGGTCTAGGAGTGGCATTTTTTTCGCGTGTCTGGTAGTATGCAATGATAGTGATAAAGGCGTCAAGGAGACATTACGAGCTATACGTCCACAACGTTACGGCTACTTTGAGATAGCGGCGAGCCTTGGTTTTTTTTTTTTTCTTCGACTTGGTTCATCCAGGGCCAGAGAGTAACATAAAGCTCCGGTGAGCAATAGCAAAAGTCTGGATTCCAGAAAACTGGGCAAATATGACAAGTCTAAAAAATTAGGAAAAAAAAAAAAAAAAAACAGCAGGGAAACATAGACAATTTATTTACCATTTTCAATATCACTTACTCCACCTGGCGGAAGAATGGGTTGAAGGATTTCCAGGATGAAGCAATCTACACCATTAGAAAATATATGCAAAAAAACTAAATGTCTGGAAAAAAAAAAGAAGCAAACTTGGGGGCAACATATTTATTTATTTATGCAAATATCCGCTGCGCCGTTAGGCGTATGCACGCACACTATATACTTCGTTTCACCTTATGTTGTGCCGCAGCGAAGGCTGGAAGCGCGAGCTCATAGCGTTGGCAGCTGCTCTTAATTCACGAGAGCTTGTGCCGTCGAGATGTGCCCCAGAGCAAGGAGCTCGCGCTTGTAGCCTTTCTCGCGGTACATCATAAGGTGAAACAGAGTATAGACGCTTTGCAGCAGCTGTGCATGGGCGCCGCCATAACTGACCTTCAGTTTTTCTTTCCTCTTAAGCGCGAAACACATGTACGACGAAACCGTCCGATCCGACGTCCGACCGCGCAATACGACGGTCGGAGGCGAGGGTTTTCAACGCTCTCCGATGCTACGAAAACCGTCCTCCCAAGGTCATTCCGGCAGTCCGCACGTCGGATCGGACGGTTTCGTCGTACATGTGTTTCGCGCTTTATTGATTTTTTTAAACTTCATTATTACCATAGCAGGCCAGGTTATTGCCATCTTAAATTCTATTGCGTCCTTCTACACAGCATTGGCCTTTCTGGAGGCTCGTCAACGCCCGTTTCAGTTGCTCGCTTTCTCCATAAGACAAAAGAAGGTCAGCAATGGCGGCTGCAATCTGGCGCGTGTGCAAAGCGTCTGTAGATACAAAGGGAACGTTCGTGGAGCTCTGCATCTAGCTTCACTGTCACGAGAGGTTATCGAAGCTGAAAAAATAGCCAGGCTGGACAAGCAATGCGTCAGTGTCCCATACTTAGCTTTATCAAAGAAAGAATTGGATTATCTCGAGATAACATCAAAGCACCAGTAGTGGTGGAAACTAATTTAGTATTTTTTAAAATTTTTTAACTGTTTAAAATTTTTAATTTTAATTTTTAATTTGTTGATTAATTTTAAAAATTAAATAAAAAAAATAAAAATAAAAAAAAAACATTTCATTTATTTTTAATATTATTCTTAGGTGTCATCTATTTATTTATTTATTTAGGTTTTTGGCTATTTGGTTCCTGGTGTTTAAAAATTTAAAATGTTATCTTTAACGACCAAGGAGAAGACGATTTAGAAATATATCTCCGAGTTGTAGTCAGCGCTGCGAGTCTGTTTCCTTCTTTTCGAACCAGAACCCCCTGAACCGATGTCTTCTGAACATCGTGGATTTGGGCGGAAGGTGGTGCGAGTGAGGAACATTGGTGAAGGAATGATTTATTGGTAGCTTGCACCGACTATTGTGCTTCGTGCTCTTTCGGTAGTTCTATTAATAATAAGTAAATTATTACGCCCGCGCAAGTGAAATCTCCAAAACACGGTATTATTTTTGAGCTCCCAGAATGTCATGGTCTGCGAGAGTTTTTTTTTTTTTTTTTTGTCTTTCAGCATCATCGAGCAATCTGTAGTATGGTCGGGAAGAACCTGCGAAAGTATGAAAATGGATAACTGTTATTACGCTCGATATCCTAGTCCACCAGTAAATCGGTCTCGGTGAATAGTCTCGGAGAAATTTACCTAGATAGTTCTATGATGCACGGAATACTGTATTTATAACGGGGAACGATCGTTTCAGTTCGTCGAGAAGGCGGTAAACAATCGTTTAGGGGAATGAAACAAAATATGTTATTTCGTTAAATGACGTCGCGTGATGGCAGGTTACGTGACGTTACGTGATGTCAGGTCACGTGACCACGAGCGCGTAGCTTTCGCTGCACTGTGAGCTTAGGACTGCGGGGGCGACGCAAAGTGCTGACACGTGCGTGTGTGCTCTGAGGGACTTTCGTTTTGCGCGGGCGTCTGTGCGACTGAAAGCAGCTGTTCAAGGCCACGCATGTGCTATTCTATTTTATTAGATGCGTGGCTGGTATGCAGTTGGTTTCAACTGCAATGTTGTTTAGTCTAAAGCCCCTCTAGTTCAGTCGGGATGTTTTTCACTTTAGATGAGCTTAGTGCGGGATTTAGAATAGGGGGCCCCGACCTTTGGGTGCCCCTAAGAAATTGGCGGACCCAAACGTAAACAAGGTTGGCGCCACCGGCTTATTGAATATGGTTTTCGCGACGCAGCGCGGCGCGCTTGCGTTTCCCACTTGCAGAGCCAGTGCGGCTGACATGCGTAATGTTTAAAAAAAAAGAGGAAATATTAAAAACGAAAAGCATATGCGCCTAGCAGGTACTTTTTGTTTGCAAATATTAGTCAAGGTAAAACAAAATACAATCGAAATCAGTATGAATACTGTTAGCTGTTTTTAGTCAAAACAATGCAATCCGTTGCGGTCTTTGTTATAGCTCTTTTCAGCCAAAACAATCCAATCTGTAGTACTCTAGTATGGCCAGTATGGCGCTCTTTCTTTGTGTTTGGAAGTTCGTGTGCAGCGACTGTCTCCGAAGGTTTAGGCCTTCAACTATGCCGAAACTGAGACGTATACAGGCGAGCATACTCTGCGAGCAGCTGCTTTATTTAGATCTGAGCTGAAGCGAGTCGGAAGCCTTGGAACACTTGCTACAGGTGACGTGCCATGCTCGGCCGATCAACACAAGCCTCCGCCTCGCCTCCTCTCCCTTCATGACGTGTCATCAGAGTCTGATCGCACGAACTCGGCTATTGGGCCCGAGCCCCAGCCGAACACTTAAGCGCGAAACACATGTACGACGAAACCGTCCGATCCCACGTCCGACCGCGCAATACGACGGTCGGAGGCGAGGGTTTTCAACGCTCTCCGATGCTACGAAAACCCTCTCCCCCCAAGGTCATTCCGGCAGTCCGCACGTCGGATCGGAAGGTTTCGTCGTACATGTGTTTCGCGCTTTACGCAGCACTCGTGCTGTGTAAGTGTGCCGTGTAAGCCAATTTACCTCTCCTCCACACGCCCGAAATGCCGAGAGAAAACAAACGGAAAGGAGGTGACTACCGACTAAATCGCGTCTCGCGCCGTCAGTATTGCTAAAAAAAAAAAAAAAAAAAAAAATGTTTTTTACGTAAAATTAATTTTTTTAAAACGTGTCCAAACCGTTGAAAAAAAAAATTTTTTTTAGGGGTTTTCTAAGGACTCTTCAACACTGATCATAGTACATTATAACTAGGGTTGTGTGTTTTTGGATAATTCCGATGAACTCCAAAAAACACCCGCCGGTAAAAATTTCGACAATTCGGATTCATCCAAAAAACTCAGAATTTCAATGTCACGCGGGCAAAACAAAAAACCGAAAAGACGGTATTATACAAATAAAGATTCTCAGGGCACAAAGCTAACTCCCCCTCCCCCCCAAAAAAGTAATTTTTTTTAAAACTATTGTAAAATCCTGGGAGACGCGCTCCACCCCTGAAAGATAGCCCACCCCTATTTTTTGGCTTGATTTGCGATATTTTTTGAACAATAAAAGATAACCCTCTTCTAGTAATATAGTAGTGTTGGAATCAATGATGGCCTCAGCGTAAATGCTGCTAGTTAGCTATGGCGGCATATAAACGAACATTGCTGACTGGGAAAAACAGTCATCTTTACTTAGGTAGTTGCCCCTTACCACGACATCCAGATTGGATGGGACGCATGACCTAAATTTTTTCCAACCTTTTTTAATTGTGTGCCGCAAGTTAGCCCACTCAAATATTTTCATCCGATTTGCTCTTGATTTTAGGTGGGCTATTTCTGGGGATATTACGGTATTGACAAAAAGTCGAAGTTCGTTTGGTACGTCATGGGCCAATGTACTTTTGGACCTTGGTCCATCACAAAAAGCCACTGTTTCAAATTCCAGTTTGAACCATACTATTTGAGCTTCTTAGAGGGAGGAGGGGCTGTGCTTTTGTGACAGTGAAAGACATGAACTTGTAGATTTCATAGGACAGGGAGGGCAGCTGAAGGTTTTATGCGACTAGGAGTTTGGCTATTCCGAAATACCGACGTTTATTGAAGTAGTACTTGTTTTCAAGATTTGTCGTGGGACAGTTAGTAGTGCCAATTGCAAGGGAACCAATGCCACATGCAGCTGCAGAAATAGATTTCGTTACCGGTTATTCGCTTTATGAATTCAGTGTATAATTTATTGAAAACATTATTTACTTTGATGAAAAGAAAACATAGGAACGGAGTAGAATTAAACTCAGAATTGCGGAGAATTGGGAATTTAATGAAAATAAACACGAACCCGGAATTTTCAGCGAAAAATAAACTCCGAAATGCACCCTCCGAATTTCACTAAAAGTAAACTCGGAAAACAAGAAATCATAGTTATTACTTAGGAAACGTATATAAAATTTGTCTACGGTTCTTGTTGCTTTGTACAAGATGGCTAGATGGCAAGTGTTTTAACCTTGTTTTGCCATATGGGTAAACTCTCACGTACTCTTCTTCTTTTCCAGTGGGGTCGGACGGAACATGAGTGCCGCATCGCTGCCGCCAGCCTACGAAACGGTCGTTGGTCAGTCTCCTGCCTGTCCCCTATTGGAGGAAAGCAGTCGGGGGCGGAGTCTGGCACCGGCTCCTACGCTGCCATTGGCCGAGCAGGGACCGCCCTCATACGAGGAGGCCATTCTTCTCTGCAGAGGGCAGCTGCCTGCTGTTGTAAGATTACAGGATTCAACATTCAAGTAAGTTCTTGCAGTTTGGAGTTTGCGCAGATGATCCAGTTATTGTAAATAAAGTTACCAAAAAGCAATGTTTTGTGTTTAAAGGGACCATGGAATGTTTTCTTCATTCTAGCTAACTATAGTACTGAGAGCAAACACTTAAAGGGACACTGACACCGCCCCAAAATTTTTTTTTTTATTTTTTTTATTTTTTTGCCAGGCGCTTCATTATGATGTCGGAGGACTACCCAATTAATATTTTGCAACAGAGTAGCGTATTGTTTTAATAAAGCCAAAAGACGCAACTGCTCGAAACCGAAACCCGACGGAGGTCGGAGAAGTGGAGAGAAGAGAGTGAGTGGCGGAAGTCACGTGGCTACACCCCACCGTGCGTTTTTTTTTTTTTCCTCTCCGTAGCAGACGACACGACATGCGGCGTGCGAAAACTGCTCGCCGTGCGATTCTTTTGCAGTTATGTTTGTTCCGCTCGCTGTTCTGTACTCCAAGATGAGTTGTTTTGTACATTGAGGAGTTGGAGATGAGTAGTGAGTGCCCGTGGTGAATTTCCATGATCGGCTCCGAAAAGAATACACCCAAGATGTTGCGTGAAGAGCTGGCTCACATGTCCTCCATCCGAAAAAAGTGGCATTGTGCGACAGAGTTTCCAAAAGATCAACGGGATCGGGACCAATGGCTGGCTGCAATTCCTGTAGAACATATACAGGCACCTCGGAAAGCGGATGCTACCTGATTTATATGCTCCTTGCATTTTGTGGAAAGTGATTACATTGAGTTCGCAGGTGTCAAAACGGAAATCCCATACCATTTAATTCAGCGAAGTATCGTCCACAACATTTGTTTGTTATTTTTTTTTGCTTGTTTCTTCAGTGATGATTGTAAAAAAAAGAAAGATATGTAAACATCAGAAAATGTTTGAAAAAAAAAAAAAAAAATGAAGTTTCACGGGGGATCGAACCCAGTCCTACCGCGTGTGAACTGGACGTGTTTCCCACCGAGCTACTGGGGTATCTCTCGTCTGGTGTCTTTCCTTAGTAATAATTCAGCCGGTAAGTTGGAAAGTTTGCTGCCGATTTTTCTCTAGCAAAAGCACTCCCGGGGCGAAGTCGGGAAGCACCACGCTTTGGGGACATTCGCACCTAGTAAAGAAATCGTATGCGTGCATATTCAACTCGAAGTAGACACATCGTGCTTGACGTTCGCGCGAGCGATGTCTTCAGCCACGAGAAGGGAGCGATGGCTCGGCGACGTCTTCGTGCAAATCGGCTTGGTGGCCGGGCGTGTCGTACGGGATGAATATCAATTCTTTTGATCAGTCCCAAATTTCTCATTTAACGGTAGACAGAATTCGCCGGTACCGCCAACGACAGTTCTGAAATAGAGGTCCCACCTCCTTGGGTCCCACGCCCGTCGTCCGCTGCCATCGCCGTACCCGCGAGTCCTATGATACGCGAAACGACGAACGCACAGAATGCTTCCGGTTGTCTGTGGAACTTTTTTTTTTTTTTTTCAATCAACGCTTTTTAGAAGCCACAAAAAATGGGTTTCATATTTTTTTCTATTTTTAATATTGAGTGTGTGCCTTCAGTGACCCACGACTTTGATTAAATTTGGTGGTCGCATCGATACCTTAGAAAACGGCCCGTGACCGCGAAAAAGAGTGAGCGAGACTCGAACCGGCCAGTTCTTGATCGGCGGTTTTCGGGCGGAAAGAAACCGAATTTCGAGCCGCAAATTCTGTTCTGGGTAGTTGAGCTCTCATATGTCAGGACAACTCAAAACCTCGGCGAGCATAAATACCCTGTCAGTGTCCCTTTAACATGCATATTGATACAGTGAAACAGTTATGAGTCCTGTTTACATTTCCTTATTGAAACACCCAGACAGATTGATGCTTGGTTGAAAAACGTCAGAGGTAAAATGCAATGGAGCCGTAGGAAGACAAGAGAGACAAAAAAAAAAAGAATAAAACAGAAGTGCCGCAGCCAATGGCCACTTCCGACTGATCACACAAACAAAGGTCCTCGTAACATCTCAGAGATAATCACATTTAGGAGAGAAGGATCAGTTGGTTCTCCATCACCTTTTAATTTTTCATGGCTGTACTGTTGTCATATTAGTGTTGGCAGCCGTCAGTAGATTTTGCAGGTGGGACGAGGGCAAAGCACAAGGTTTATTTTCAATTTGTTTCACTAAATGTTGCTCTGAATTAGTCCTGGATATTCATAATCTAGGAAACGCACATTAGGTCCCCCTCTATGCACCGTCCTTGAAATTATTCCACAACCAAGCTTCTGGCTTTGTGGCACTGCCTGCGAGTATGCTTACGTCAGACCCGTATCAGTATGTTTGTGCAGAGTGCATAAAAAAAATCAAGCAGGACATTGTTTCATGAACCTTTTAAGACAGTTCACATAAACCAAAATTTAGAAGTCATTAATAAAGCAGCCACAAAAATAATTGGATATCTCCCGCTCTGGACATAATCCAGACTTTTCTGTGATGTATACGGTACACAGAGGGTACTTGATCCCCTGCAAGACCTTTAAAGCCTTCAACGGAACTCTTAATTGTGCATTCAATGAATGAATCTGGGTATTCATACAATCGAAAAAGCTGCCTGGTGTGAACTTAGGTTATGGCAGTGCCACGCATGGGTGGAACACTTGGCAAGATTGGTCTCTTATTTTCAAGGTATTCACATCTCAAACATTCGACAAAGGCAGAACTGACCAAGAAAGATTCACTACCTGAGCATGATGCATGTTGAGAGATGTCCCTCAATTTACCTTGAAGTCTATAACTTGGGCTGTAAAAGCCTACACAGGCGTTCCACATGTTTTCACCATATGCCTAGCAGCAGTTTTCCGTAGTCGCACGTCGACAGCATCTCAAACCTGCTTGTACTCTTTGCTTACAGAGACTCCGAAACGCATATCCAAGCAGACAGATAGCCCCCCCTCTGAACGGACCGGGGTTTCAAGCCTGGATTAGTCTTCAAGTTCAACGTGCGCCTGCGAGGCACGAGAGATCGTCGCCCACTCTACACTCCCCCAAACAGGAGTAGCCCGTCTGTTGAGCCCCAAAACGTGCGTGCACAGCCAATGTGCATTGAATCGAAAGATCGTCAAGAACCATTCTCAGGGGTTCGACTGCTGCTAGGGAAAGGCTGCTGATCCACAGCTCTCGTGACATCAGTCACGAGTCTTGACACGTGCACGATGACAGCAGTTTTAAGAATCTGTGGTATCATGCAATGGTGAGTGGTAGCTGCTAGCATATTGGTGTATCACCGTGGACTTTTACACACGAAAGCAAACTGTCACGATGATAGTAGGGAAGGGCTCTCTCAAATGGTGTGCTGGTATGTGTGACTCATTTAACGTGCAGAGGTGTACTCGAGTACACTGGTACACTAGTAGTTCAGCAACTTGTAGCACCCTCTGCGGTCCATTGTAAGGTGATGCAGTTTGTTTCGGAGGGATCGAAGCTAACGGCTGTACCCTTTATGATGGGCAGTAGCTTGCGCCACCTAGCCTAGAAACCAAAAGTATGATTTTTCCTCCTTGCCTCTCCCTCTACCTTTTTGCAACTATCACCAGGTGGTGTAGGATAGTCGGCACTTGATGCCCATTGTTGCCGTTATTTTTTACACGCAGTTGCCCTTGAAACTGCCTCCTTGGAGGAACCTCTTTTTGTGCAACATGTTTGACATTCAACGCCAATATGTGTAGGTAAATTGCAACAAAGTACCGTTTTTGTGCTTGATTTAGCCATGTCGTGCAGTGTAGAGGTTGCAACGCAGTTGGCATGAAGCGATCGCTGTTTTTTGTTGTTTTTCTCCTGCACATATAAACGACTCCCATTAAAACTACCAGAGCAGTAGAACATGCTCATCCGTTGCAGCAACTTGGCCAGTAAGGCTGTTTGTCGTCTGGTACGACTATGTGGTGTGCACACTGGTATGTGCTCATATGCTTGAATGGTGGCAGCAGACCCAAGACTATGGTGTTGGTATGTGGTGCACACACTGGAACATGGTACCACACACTAGTGTGCTGCTAATATGGTTGCAGCTGACTTGTGATATGGGGCCTACTCTTATCATTGTTGACAATTTTCCCAACTGCACAAAATGATCTTGGTTGCACTGGGATAGAAAGTGCCTCAACAGAGCATCTAGTTTTCAAGTGGTCTCTGATGTCGTGTGGCCCGGCTCAGACTACAAAGCTTACTCCTGCTACAATGCCCAAGCGAGACTGCCACCTCTTCTTTTCGGCCCGCGATATGTGCGCGAACAGTGTCGTAACTTTGCCAAGGAAACAGATTTTCAGCCTCGTTGAAAAAGGCATTTTGTAAATCTGCTTGGGCAGATACTGGATATCTTGGGAATGACTAGCCGATGTGCAAGTCATCCTGTTTCGTTATAGGCTTCGTCTTCCAAGAACCTGCCTCGTTGAAGTTGGGTGCAAATGTTGATTTCGGTGCGTAGACAAACTGGAAGATGGATTTCCATTGGAGACCTTTGAACACCTATTGGATGTAATTACTCAATTGGTGCACTCATTTTTGTAAGCCAGCCCTTCAATATTTTGGGGGTTTTCAGTGACAACTTGAGGTAACTCTCTGTGTTGTTTAGATGCTTTAAATGAAAAAATAGGGGCATTACACACCCAACTGCTCACTTGTGTGTGCTGCCATCGTGACATTCATTTGACTTGGTTGGGCTACACTGGTAGTGGGTATAAGCTCAGACTAATAGGCAGCCGAGAAAATCATTATTACTGCTCAAACAAGCAGGAAAAGATGCACAGTATCTTAATGGGTTGTTGTCTAAAACATGTACGGGCATCCACAAAATGCGAGCAGTTGTTGTGGGGCCCATGGAAGATACTCTTTCTTCCCAGTTTCAGCCACTTGAATTCGAAACTGCATACTTCCCAAATGGTTGACCCTTCTATGCATTCCACGACAGACTGGGCCATAAAATGGAACGGGCAGGAATTTTCGGTCAGAAATTGTTTTGTCTGTAGTGGGATCTAGGACGACTGAATGCTTGTAGGGCAGCTAGAAAAGCTAATTAACTTCTTTCCTCCGACTCTCATTGTAGCGGTGTAACAGTTCAACTGGCGACGACATGGAATGACCCCATGCAGCTTTTTTCGCACACCTGGTCCGATACGCAACATGTACATTCTTTTGCGACTTCGAGGGTAGAAAGATTTGGACAACATTCCCCCAAGCTCAAACCTTTCACCCGTTCCTCTTTCTTTGTTGGTGCCGCACAGTTAGACTGACGCTCTACAAGCAAGTGAAATTCCAGTTTGTGCTCTGCTGCCTGCACAGCAGAGTACAGCAGGAGCACCTTTCGGAGCCACACTTACTTGTAGTCTTTACTGCACTCCGTGTCAAGCGGAGGCAGTCTATAAAGGAAAAACACAAAAAAAAAGGAACTATGCACGAACGCCAAGCGGTGCACGGGGGACAGTAATGAAGGCCAAAGTTTTTTGCATTTAGACTAGGGATGCTAACTACCGAGTTGATTGAAAGTTGCTCTTAGTGACGACTCGAGCGAGTGTCCTGGATGCATTTTTAACTTGTGGAGTCGCCCAATGTGCGATTGTACGACTGCGTCTTGGAAGATTTTCGATGCCGAGACTTTGCCATCTGCAGTTTCGAATGTGTCCGGGTTTGGTACTGTTGATCAATGTTTTTTTAACGAATAGCGCCTCCACGTAACTGTGCAACTGGTTTTCGTGGTTGTACCGCTGACAGAGAAAAACCCTCACTTAGATCTGTTGTTGACCAACCAGGGCAGTCCCTGATTGAACATTTTTAGCTTTACAATGAGCTTCAGCTTTCTTTGCATGTTGTGGAATTGAAGCTCCTGCCCATTAATTAATCGGTCGGTTACCAGGATGGTAGCGTAGAACTTCTTAAATCTAGAAACATTGGTGGCATTGCCCGAAGACACCATCTACGGTCTAGTAAATGGTCGGAGTGAAGAAGACGCCATCCATGGTCTAGTTAACGGTCGGAGTGAAAAGTGCGTGGATAGAGGGCATGAGCTGATAATGTTAACAGCTTATCACGAGTGGCACTGCTGAATTTTCTGCGGGTATTACAAGTCATAGTAATGACCTCAGCCATCAGTAACATTCTCAGTGATCTTGTACGTTTATTGTGGGGGTACCTAGCATTGAAGTCTCCCAGAAAACTGATGCTACCTTCATTCCATGTTTTTTTGTTGAAAAAACGCCAAGAAAATCCTTTAGAGCACAGAGCTGTATGTATTTTTGAATAAATGTATTATTTACTGTATTCTGTCATAATTTGAAATATGCTTTGGTGGATGTGAGCATCTGTAGGAAACTGTTTGGGATGGTTATGGAATTGATTTTAGCTTTCTCGTCTTGGGCCGTGTGAACCTGACATCCTGGGTAAGAAAGAAAGCAAACTAAATAACGTTCCACAGGTCTTGAGATTGCTTGCTGTCGGCACATGCTCACCAACTGCTCTGGCAGCCAGTGAATACCGCCGATACACCAATTCACAAACGGCCTTTGACGGCCGTCATTCCAGATGTCTGTGCATGTATGCTGTGCTCGCCAAAGTGGTAAGCATGTGCCGCTGGACTCTACTTTTTGTAAAGGGGTAAGTATGCAAAGCAGGTGCCACCACAAGCTCGCAGCAATAAAGTTGCAGGACACAGGTTGCACTGCTCTACCACCAGGTAGCAACAACCCAAAAGGGGCAAAAATACGTTGAAAAATGGCCCCAGCTGGCGTGCAACGAACAACGGCAGTGCCTACTGTCTCCAGGTGTAAAGATTCATGATGGTGGGGCCGTGAGGTGGTCATTAAACCTAATGTATCCCCACCCCAAGAGTGCAAAAAAGTGGCAGTAGGTGGCATTGGCATGCAAGGAATGGCGGCGCTACCTGGTTAACACTGGAGGCGCATTGCAACTTAGGAAAGAGCAGTCCGTGTGCACGAAGACGTGGAGCGTACCCCGTTTATGCGAATCTCAGCGTTGGAAAAAAGATGCGGCGCTCATCCGTCCGTCCCCTTGGTAGTGCTGATTCCGGCCCCTGTAACCTCCACGGAAGTGCGGGGGCGCGTTCGAGTGGCGGGTGTAAGTGCCCAGTTCGTTGTGGCTCCTGCTCTTGCTCTTGTCGTCCTCGCCCTTGACAAACAGCACCTTGCAGTTTTCCTTCCGCTTCTCCTGGACGCCGGTCAGGGAGGTGACGTCTTTGGCCAGCTCGCTGATCTGCATCATCACATCCTTGGGGTACGCGCAGCCGAGCAACTCCACGTTAGCGAAGGCTTGAGCCAGGCACAGCAGTCTGTTCTCGTCGTACTTGCCGGCATGAGCGAGTAGAAACTCCTTGCGTAGTTCCCAGTGCTCGTTGCTTTCCCACGGCTGACGGTACTCTTCGATGTCCTTCTCCATGGCTTACGATCTGTCGAAGAAGTACGAAAAATCGCTATCTTCAGAACTTTCCGTACTCTCTAGCGTTCGCTACACAGCACCCGTCAGTAGCAACTCCGGCAAACCAAGGCAAACATTGTTCTAGCTTCGACTTCTTTGGGCTATTAAGTTTGGCTACGGCTATGACTACATAAATTGATGTGTGGATACCTAAATAAAGTTAACTCCTCGCTTTGGGCGGCGGGTAGCGCCATCTATTCATAACTTTAACTACTGCCCCTTGGCTTTTAATGCGACTTAGTAGTATTAAATATAGATGGCGCGAGTTTTTACACAATAAGCTTTGACGTCAAGAGGTGAAAAATGTCATTATCCATTCATTTGTTCATCCTAAGGTGGCTTGAGTTGACTCGAATCTGGCTCACGGTCCGGCGATCTGGCTGGATCCTTCCCGATTTGTGTTCTCGTGCTGCTCGGTAGTCCTAGCAGCCGGTCGGCGAGGTCCTTTTCGTGGAAGGATACCGTAACTACGCTCAAAGGTTGTATTCTCTAAGGAACGAGCCCTGCGGCGCAAAGGATCGAGCTGTTCTTCCACCAAAGTATGCCAGCCGATGAAGGGGACAGCGGAGTGGACGCCATGAGTTTGCCCGAGAGTCGAGACAGCTCGCCCGCCAAGGTGCAGAAGGCCGACCTCGATGTTCCGGTCCCGAACATTGAGAACCCGTTCGCCCGAAGGCGGGAAGTGGAGGATGAAGAAGACGACGACTTTGTAAGTTTTCGCTCCTGCCCGATGACTTTGAAATCTCGTGTGTCACTACGGCGTAATGCCATTAAATACCCCAGTTTAGCAATCGTACTGCGCAGGCTAAATTTCTCATCTTCAGCGTGTAACAACGACGCCAAAAATTCTGACAGACTAAACTCACACTGTCTAAACATTTAGCGTCAAGTTTCAATTTACTTTTTACTCGAAATCTTTGTTTTAAATTTCCAAGCGTTGTCTAGGCAACATGCAGGCTTATGACTGATACGCCGGGTGGACTTGCACACCTTCGCTGTTTCGGTCACTCCACTGGGGTAATGAACGCTACTTGGGTGCCACAGTTTCTCGACAGTGTTCTTGCAACTCCCAAAGTTGAATGGTCGTTTGAGGTTTCGGTCCCAGAGCTCCTGAGCAGCTAGAGCAAACTTGAAAGCTTTTCTCGACAAAATCCTCGGGAGAGTGCCAGTGTGTTGTATTTTTAGCTCCTGGAAAGGCCTACTACCTTTTTGCGGACATTTTGTAGTTCTCTTTAGGTGGAGGTGAGATGCACACTGAGCCCTCGCCGAGTCCTCTTTGGAGTGTGCGAACAAGGAAGCGAAAATCCGACTTTGCATGTATCGGTCATGATTACGCAAATGTTTCCCTGCGGTGCGCACTTTGTCTCATTAACTCGTCTCAGCTACACCCTGTGGCAGGTAAAGAAAAGCAGGACACAAACTCTTCCCGCTAAGTCTTTTACTCCTTTAACTTTAGCAGAGTAAACACTGGAGATGAAGTGAAAGAGGAGAATCCACTCGCCTTTGCCCCAGTGTTCCCTCTGCTAAAGAAGGTGTGTGTCCTGCTTTTCTTAACCTGCAACAGGGCATAGAGAACAAGACGAGTGAATCCGAGCGCCCCTGTCATTGTGGCGTCCCAACTCTCTGCTGCCGGACCTTTCGTGGACTGCCAAGCTGGTGGATGACCTACAACAAAACAGCAATCACCGTTACTTCAGCACGACACAAGCCTGACATTGTCGGGCAGATACTGAGGAGCAACGTAGACGAGGAAGCCGTAAACACACCAGATGGAGACACGACATTGCTAGCGCTAACGCGACTTTGGAGCTTTTTCAAATTATATCCCTTGGGTTAGGGCCTCCGAACAAGCCCTTAACACCACACTAGTTTTCACGATTGCCTTTCGATACTAAGGGAAAAGCAGGAAGAACCAGCAGTCGCTTGTTTGTGCTTACAGTGCTGCACTGCGTATTTCATCCGTGAATGCAATTACGGTCTGTTTGCTCAGTCTGGGCGGAACCTCGTGCAATACCTAGGCCGCGTTCCAAAATTTACTCAATTTCGCTCCAGAGTGACAGTTATGTACCTTGCCATTTCAAAATCTACTGGCGTCCAGCGTCACTCTGTCAGTATTGTCACGCAATATGGCCCACGAGAGCACCTTGGATCTCTTTTGCAAAACAAAATTACAGATAAAATTTTGATCCTGCGGATGAAGTAGGTATATGCAGAATGTATTTTTGCGGCATTTTTCGGGGCTTGTGTTGAATTTTGCAGTTGTCTTTTTCTTTGGGAGGCATGGAGCTAGCTGCCTCTGCCTGCACTCACCGTTCGAACGCATTTGCCACTGCCCCTTTGGCCCAGTGGTACCACGATGTCAGTCACCTGGGCACTCCTGATGGTGGGGGTCCAGGGTTACGCTCGTGGAAAATTATCGCGCCGGTCTCGACTTTGCTCGCGCTTGCCGTCTTGGCAACGCCGGCTTCGTTCTCCGGTGGCGGGGTGCCCCTCGAGAGTTGGAGGTTCGGCCCGACCGAATCGCCATAGTGGGGGAACCAACATGTAAAAATTAAAAATAAAACGAGAAGACAGCCCCTTTTGCCGATGCGGCACAGTGTCTGGCTCATAATCGTAAGCTCAACACCCGTTGTGGCGCGTTTAGGATCTCATTGTTTCCCCTCGATTAATTGCCATTTCTTCTCGGCTACGGGTTCTTTTGTACAGAATGTTTTCTGACGTACGGGTTACGAGCTTCGTCACACTTTCCTCGGGTCCTACACACGTCCTGCGTCAACAAATGCCGATCTTTCGAAGGAGCTGGACGAGACCATTGCGGAGCGTCTGTGGGGCCTGACGGAGATGTTCCCGGAGTCTGTGCGCAAGGGCACCCACTCGCTGGTCTGGGGCTCCCTGTCCGGGGTGCGGCGCTTCTACGGCTTTGGCCGGGCCGCCCTGTGGGTGCTCTTCTCCTCGACGGCCATCCTCTTTGCCCCCGTCGTCTTCGAGGTGGAGCGCCTGCAGATGGAGGAGATCAGCCGGCAGCAGCAGAGACAGGTGCGGAGGTCGCGCGCTCTGCCAATTTGCCACGTTCAGAACTCCGGCGCCATTTGGGGGCTCGAGTAACAGTCTAGCTTGTCGCATGCTATAGGCCAGGGGTGGCCAGAGTGACATGGGGTTAGAATCGCAGACAAAGCTACAAAAGTTTAGAGAGCTGTGGGGAAAAGAAAAGGGGGGGGAGGGGGGCTATTTTTTAACAAGAAACAATATGGAGGGGACAATCCTTTCCAAAGGGGACAAGTATAATTGTTGATTTCAACAGGTAATACCAGGCGGCAGAACGTTTCTTCAACTGCTGGTCTAGTGGCATAAGCTACCGCCCGATCCAAAGGGCTCAGCCGCATTCATCCATCCATTCATGCTAAGCAAAAGCGAATGCACGGTTCGCTAGACAGCCACGGCCCCTGATGCCCGTTATGTGTACACGGTTTGAAATTCTTTCTTGAACAATAAAAGAGACGGGGTTACTGGACAGAGGATGTGTCAGAAGGCACTCCAGTTGTATGTGCATAGTGTAGTACAAGGTTGCCAAGACTAAGAGCTTTATTTAAATTCTAGAACACTTTTGGTCTTGGGGTAGGGGGGAGGGGGCACGCTTACTAGGGAGCTGCAAGCCGCGCTTGTACCTGCAAGGAGCTGCAGGTTGGCCACCGCTGTTATAGAGCTTTTCTATGTGGGCGCCGCCATCTTGAATCGTGGTACTTGCGGTGTGCGGGAAAACATTGTTTTTGCTCACTACACCACTCGGAGAAGCTCTTGTTTTCTTTTGCCTTTTCTATATTTTAATTAATCCAGGTCATAGTGCCTTGTTTTTTTTTTATTATCCCGCGCACCATATTTGTCAACTACATAGCTGGAGACAAGGGTGATTGATAAAGATTCATAGTGACACAACGTGAGAATGGCAATAGAGGTCCTTCAGTTGTACCTCCCCTAGTGCGAGCTTCCTGATGGTTTGTGTTGTGTTTTTAATATGAGCGCCTATGTAAAACAGGATGGAAAAACCAACTGCTCCATCTTGTGCTCCCTTCGTATCCCGGCCCCTTCTTCCTCTTCGTCCTTGTCTACTAGCAGCCAGGATCTGCTTGCAGACACAACCCAATCCCCCCTCAAAGCAGAGTTCAACAGGGGAAGAACCTGTCTGGAGGTTTCTTATTCCTTGTGGGCTTTCGTGGAGCTGGAAGTGTCTGCTGTGTATCTGCTCCAGCTTCTGGATTTGCCTAGTCCACCTGCACTTCGTGTCTTGCTGGAATGCGTGTTCGAGACAACCTCGACGAATTCCAGCATCCTCTTCTGACGTGACGAAGGTGCTTGGTCCCACTGCTTCATGAATTCTTTCAGGGGGACCAAAGAATGGTGTTTCCTTTGGTCGGTGTGTAGGAATCTTTACTTGCACATAATCTCCTACACCCGCTGTAAATGGTTTGGCCCTCCACCTATCATCTGTGTATTGCTTGCTGTGTTTCTGGTAATCAGCAATGTGTTGGCGGAGTTGCTGCATCTCGATGTGAATGGGCTTGTCAAAACATGGGAAGCCCACAATGCCCATATGGGCCCGCATTTTACGTCCGTGGATGAGCACAGCGGGGGAGAGCTTCATTGCTGCATGTGGTATGCTTCTGTGGACACCCAGAAACTCCAAGGCCTGTGCGAATATTGCTTTGTTCCTGTAGGATAGTTTGGATGTACTGCTTAAGCTCTCGGTTGAAGCGCTCAACCTGACCATTGGCTCGTAGATGGTATATCGCAGACCGATGATTGGAAATCCTTCTGGACTTAGGAACTCCTGGAATATGCGGGATTGAAACTGTGGGCCATGGTCAGACACAATTACCTCTGGATACCCTTGCCGGCTGAAGATTCTAATGAGGAATTCCCATACAGCTTCAGCCGTAACTTGGTTACAAAAAGCTACCTCTGGCCACTTACTGAAGTAATCCATTAGTGTGACTGCGAATCTGTATTGCGATGGAAGTTTGTAAAAAGGTCCGACAATGTCTATTCCTAGTTGTTTCCGTGCACCTGATGGGAAGGGAACTGGTTGTAGAGGTGCCGCTGCCATCACAGCTGTCTTGTCGTTCGACTGACAGGTGTGGCAGTCTCGAATGTAGGTGTCGACTTCGACGTCCATTCTGGGCCACCAGAAGCGCTGGCGTAGATGCTGCTTCGTCCGCATAATTCCAGGGTGTGACTCGTGAGCTAGATCGATGATTCAACGCCGTAGCGAAATGGGTGGTACCAACACTTCACCACGTAAGCCATCCACGGAGGAAAGCTCTTCTCGCAACTTGTAGTATGTATATAGTACTTTATCACGTTGTTCCTCATGACCCCATCCGGTGCAGATACACTGAATTACTCGAACCAAATCAGGGTCTTGCCTGGTTTCTTTCTTGATTTCGTCTTAATCGATAGTGCATAAATTGCATACCAGGCAAGTGAATTCTTCCTCGTTGTCACTAAACTCGCTGCCATCTGAAGGATTCGGAGTAGGCAGGCGTGACGGTGCGTCTACTACAACATTCTCATTCCTTTTCTGGTAATGTACCTTGTAGTCATACCTGAGGAGTCGCATAGCCCATCTGGCTATCCTCATTAGTTGTCGACTGGTTCATTGTGTAGAAAGCAAAGTAACGAGAGCCTGATGATCCGTCTTAAACGTGAAATGGCGCCCGAAGAAAAAAACGTGCCATTTCTCGCAGGCCCAAAGGCACGCCAATGCCTCTTTCTCCCCTGCAGAGTAGTTGCTTGGAGCTTGAAAATGTTCGCGATGCGAACGACACCGTTCGGATTCCTCCCGGATGTACTTGCTGTAGAACCGCACCTAATCCGTAATTAGATGCATTCGTTGTGACGACGGTGGGCAGCGCCACGTCGAAAACAGTCAGTGGAATGCTGTTTCATATCAGATCCTTGACAGCAGTGAATGCCTCTTTTCTTACCTTTTTCCATTGAAAGGGAACATCCTACCGCAGGAGCGCATGCAGAGGCTCCACTATGGTCACAAAGTTCGGTGCAAACTTGAGGTAATAGGTGAGCAGGCCAAGTAACGATCGTAGTGATGTTATGTCTGTGGGAGGTGAAGCCTGCATGATAGCATCAATATTATCTTGGCATGGCTTGATTCCCTGCGGTATCAGCTCATGTCCTAGGAATTGAGGCTGCTGGACTGCAAAAAAACATTTCTGCTGGTTTAGTTTCAAGCCTGCATCTTGAAGGCGTGAAAGAACTTGCCTCAGGCGGGCATCATCTCTTGTGCGTCCGAAAATCAGTACATCATACAGGTAGACGATGGTACCTGGAGTACCTTGGGAGTATGCAATCCATCATCTTTTGAAAGGCGGGGGCGCCGGATGCTAGCCCGAAACATACTCTGGTGAACCTGAAGAGACCCTCATGCGTCACAAATGCCGTTAGGCCAAAACTATTGCAGTGTTCGGCTTGCGTAAGTCTACACAGAGCCGGATCTCCCAATTCTTCTTGTGGGCCACCACGATGGGAGACACCCACTCCGAAGCATCGATGCGCTCGATAACCCCGGAGCGTTTCAGCCTCGCCAGTTTCTCGGACACACTCTCGCGCACTGCGGAAGGTAGTCTTCGTAGCTTTTGTTGGAAAGGAGCGACGGAATCTTTTGTCTTTACCTTATGTATGAATCCTTTCGCATGACCTAATCCCTCGGAGAACAGATGGGGGAAGTCTTGTGTGATCTCTGGAAGGTTTCTCGCAGAGACTGTTGCCACCTGTCCACCAGTGGGAGGAGCAAAGTTTAGTTGGATGTCCAACGCACGTAAGGCGTTTAGGCTCGTGACAGCCACGCCTGTTCGTACGACGTAAAACGTGCAGATGCCGAGTCTTTGCGCGAACTGCACGGGTGCGTCAAATTTCCCCAGAACGGGAATGTCTTTTCCGGAGTAGTCCAGATGTGTTGTACTTGAACATTCCAACTTGTAAGAGTGGAAGTGTCTTCGGTAGACGTCTTCCGGCAGGATTGAAACGGATGAACCCTTGTCGACTAAAAGTTTGGTAAGAACATGGGCCGGATGTATGTCGCACGTGACCGATTGTTTGTCAAAGCTGGTAGTTAGCACCTGGACTTGGTCCTGCACGTGTTCCACGCTTCGTACAGGGGATTTTGCTTGTGAAACTCCCTGTTTGCAAATGGAGGCGAAGTGTCCCTCCTCGTTGCATTTTCGGCAAGCTTCGTTCTTTGCCGGGCACTTAGGATGATCCGCCATGTGGTGCGGCGACCCACGTCTGTAACAAGTGCCGGATGACTTGCTGGGACGTGCACTTGGATTTTGGGCTTTTATTTTTGCCACTTGTAAACTGGATCCCTCTTTTGTGAAGAGCTTGGCCTTCTTCATCGCTTGCTCAACTTGAGAGGCGATGGCAATAGCAGATTCCAGGGAAAGCTCGGACTCTAGTAGGAGGCGGTTCCTAACTTCAGAATGGACCGTTTTTTCAACGAGCTGATCACAGATCATCTCATCTGTCATTACTCCGAATTGGCAATTGGTGGCAAGGCCATGGAGGACCGTAACATGCTCTTGCGCTGTCTGGCCGGGCATCTGAGCACGGGACCGAAAAACAAATCTCTCGGCCATTTTGTTGATGGCCGGCAGGAAGAATTTTGCAACTTCCTGATCGCTGTTTCGTAGGCTGTGGTAGCGGGCGTTGCAGGAGTGCCCGATTCCGAAGTAGCAGTTGAGGTACTTGGTGATGTAGCGCGGTTCGTTGCGAACATATCTGGAAGGTCAGGTAGCTTGCAATAGGTCCATTGACCCGCAACTCCAAGTGAGCTTAGTAGGATGGTCGTTCTTCTGGCGTCTGCCACCGTCGACCCACCGGAAGCGATCATGTACGTCTTGAAAATGTTGTACCATTCGTTCCATGGAATCGAAGGCTTGCCTGGGGACGGTAGGAAAGGTGGTGGTGGATCGACTTTCATGCTGGAGTTGAGGCTTTGTCGACTGTGCCAATTGTTGTGTTTTTAATACGAGTGCCTATGTAAGACAGGACGGAAAAACCAACTGCTCCATCTCGTGATCCACTCTCTTTTCGTCGTCGTCTACTAGCAGCCAGGATCTGCTTGTAGACACAACAGTTCGATTATAAAGCACGGTGGGAGCTTGTGGCAATTGGATCTTTAAACCAACATCACCTGTGTGGTCGGTCGGACATTTCTTTTTTTGCCAGTAACGATAGCGGAATGAATTGTACCCTAAACGCCACAGTGAGCGTTCAGCCAATCGTGAAAGGTCGACCACAGTGACACTTTTGGTCGCGCATGCCGCCACCGGTGGTTATAAGAATGTACAATGTTGCATCGGGCACTGCGGCTTTCGTAAGTCATCGGCAGACAGTAGTGTGTTCCTTGCCACACAGCTCTTCCTCAATTAGTTTGTGTTTTAGTGGTTACCGAAGCTATCTGTGTGACTGAAGCGCTTACCCGTGTGAAACCCTTGATAAGCTTCACCTCATTCCAGATGGTTTTAGGCCAAGCGTGTGCCAGCTACACGACTGGATACGTGTCCGAAACCAGTTTTGTGCCTCATGTAGTGCAATGGTCTGTTGCAACAGAACATCTGACATCTTCATCTGACATCAGCCACCATTTTGTGATTGTTGCGACCTCTATCTGACAGAAATTTGTGCCATCCACCTGTGCTGTGGAAACCCGGCCCGTGCGACAATCCACCTATATTCGAAGTTTGCAGGTTTTGAAAGATTTTACTTGATTTGGCTATTCTGGATGCTTGCCGTTTTTGTGTTACCTTCCTCTGCAAGAACCAGAGAATACCAGGGCTCGTATCTTTTGCGGGAAACGGATGAAAAAAGCAAGCATTGAGTGGTCCGCAACGAGGATTATCTCCATTGAGATAATCTCCAAAAAGCCTTTGTGGTCTTCTCGAAAAATAGCCGATTAGGTCTTGTATGGAGCCGGAACAGACTCGTTCGTTCCTTTGCTTCACTGCTGTGTAAAAGAACAAGTTCTCCTCACAACGTGCTTTAAAACAAGTCGGGAATTCATCCGATTGTCATCAGGTGACTATCGTTGATTCTGAAGATTGAATGTGCTGGGCATTCTTTGAGATCTTTCTCGAATAAACCCTGTTCGGATCACGGGGTACCGTACGATGCATACAATGTGGTGTTCGATTGAGGAGAGCTGTTTAATATTATGTTGCAAGCTGTGAGTACCCGGGCCTTTTGGTTATCTCTTGGGTTATATATCTTTTACAATCAAGGCCTTTGTCGATATACGCAGCGCAGTGTATGGTATTGTAAAAAAATCTGCGTAAAATGAAAGAGGCGTTTTGGTTGAATTTGATTTTTTTTGGTCGCGCACGGACTCATCAAAAATAGCTTTCATTGGTCTGTTTTTGTGTCCAGAAATAGCACCGTTCTTTCTCAAAAACCTCGAGAAATTCTATTCGCCATAAAACAAAAAAAAAACCAATAAAATGCAGCAATTTAGCGGCCCCAGGGTCCGTAATTGCACCTACACAGGCTGCCACAGCCCGGAGTCATGTGGTTTAGAGAAGCTCATTTTAGCGAACGCCGTTTTACCGACCCCAGTTTATCTAGTGCCTTTATAGAGGAACCCACTTTAGAGAAAATGGCGATGAGCCTCCTTTTAGCGAATTCGGCCGCCGCGAAGCGGCGTGTGCGGATAAGTCAGTCGAGTTAATATTTTTGTAACGAGCCGCCGCAGACTGCCGCCGTGCAGCGGCGGGAGCGCAGCGGTGGGCTGGGGTTAACACGCGCACCAGTGATACACGCGAAAAGTAGAAAACCCTTTCTTAAATAGCGTCCCCTTTTCGATAAACGGCATTTCTCTAAACTGAGGCTCTGCTTTCTCTAAACTGTGCTTCGATAAAATGTGCCCATTCTCTAAGACGTGCTTCGACGAAATGGCATTCTATCAACCGTAGTAAACCCGCCACAGCCCACTAACAAAAAAACACAGCCTGGCGCAGTAGGACCACACTGACATGCTCTCTCAAAACCATGGACGTGCGCTGTAAATCGCTTCGTTCAAGACTACCACTGGAAAGGTCTCTATCCTGCCCCCCTGGCCGTATAACCGACATACACAGACTGCATTAAGTGCCGTTCACACGCTTGCAACTGAGTAGGACCGAGAGAGACAAAACTGGTTTTTAAGACTTGCGACGGCGGAGGTGGTCCTACACCGTCGCGAGCGGCTCAAAATCCAGTCTTATCTCTTGGTCCTACTGGGTTGCAAGTGTGTGAGCCGCGCTTTATGTGCAGCTTTAGCAGGTGCTTTTAGAAACCGTCTGTAAAGCCTAAATAAAAGCCACTCTCTATAAAGAAGTATGGGTAAATCAGTGTTTCTTAGAAAGAACACTGTATGCACTAGGACGTGTACCCTTCTGCTTCGAGAGGTGGCAGACAGTCTTCCACTGCTGGGTGTCCGTCCCGGCCGTGGAAGATTGCTTTAATTTTATCACGCCTCGCTCTTCTTTCTCGAGAGGTTTTGTCGGTGCATTTTTCATCGCCTATTGCAGTCATCATATCCAAGCGTGTTTCTACTGTCCCACAACAAATTCTTCCTTGCAACAAGCTCCTGTTCACATTCTTGAGCTATTATGGTGTCACTTCTGCTAAAGGAATACTGTGGTTTATTTTTTTCTTTTCAGATTTTGTTGGGCCCCAGTGCTGCTGTTTCTGGGGGAGCCGGCGCGATGCCAGGGCTCAACATGCTTGGTGGTCCACAACCGCAGCCCTCGCGGTAGTTATTGGCCGTTCTCGGTGGCGGCGATACCTTCTCATCTGGTCCCTGGTTCCGGTCGTATTTGTAGCACTGCAACGTTTGCGTTTTACGTGTCCCGAGGTGCCTTTCTCCACCGCTCGTGTCGATTACGTTTTGTGATGTTCTGTAGTCATCAAGTATATTTAGGGGGAAATAAAAGGGAATTTTCTTCTAATGTGTCCTCTTTGCACGAACACATTTTTACGGTACACTACTTTTGCGAATTCGACTTACTACTTTTCGAATTCTTTATACGTTGCGGGAATGAAATGGCAAGATAAGGGTAAACAGGTTTGTGAAGAAGTTGAACCTGGACCTGTTGGCACAAATTGTTTTTCATGATTGTTTTTGGAATGCAAGCATGATTTACAGTAGTATACATGGGCTGATGTAATTTCGCTGTCACTCGTGTAAGTTTTGCTGTAAAGCACAAATGAATGAAATCAAGCTTTTTTTCCTTCAATCTCGGCAGCTTCCTTTATTTGTGAGGACGGTTCTGACTTGTCGGTTTACGCATACCAAGCTGAGTACAGAGTCACCTTTGTAAGAGACTTATTCTGCTCAAGATTGCCTGGTTGGACCTTGGAAACTTACCAGCCTGTAATCCTGTACTTCATAGATGAAGAACATAGCCATAGTTATGACAGCCTTCGCTCTACTGCAGATTCTTCTCTGTGCAGACTCGATAAAAAAATTTGGTTGCTTTAATGGGCTGTTAATTGTTCTATTTGATTTTGTTGGCTTTTGTTTTATCGGCCCGCCGTGTATTCTCGGTGCATCTCTTAGGTGAATGTGTGCAATTTTATGGATGGGTAAGGCCTGTAGTTAAATATGTTGTTTTGTTTAGTTGTATGACATTGTTCTACAATTCCTTAGTGGTCTTTAAAATATGAATGTTATAGCAACCTGTTGAACCTCTGACCTGGCCATCACAGTACCCTTTCAAGAATACTGCACTTCATTTAATAGATGTTTTCATTTCCAGGAAGGTTTTTTTGTTTTTAAGACTTTTTGTTCTGCTTATGAAGGAAGGATGGGTAGGAATGAGATCAAAATATACCAAGTTATGCATGTAATACCATGCCTCGTACCAACCTGCACTGATTGAGTCGGGTGTGCCGGCACTGGTAAAGTCCGCATGAATGCCCACACCCTAGAGATTGCCCATCCCATTTTTTGGGGGGCTAAATATCCATAACGTGCATATCTCGAAATATCTCCTGCTGAATATCGATCTTGCGATGTCCAACCAGAATCGCATGAACCGCACTATTTGCGGTGCCAGTACGTGTGGCGAGCGTGTTCGCCGTGGGTTCTGTAATGTTTATTGCACCGTGATGCATGAATCTGCTGCGGCTGCAATCTGCAGTGCATGTTCTCGTGACTTGCGAGTTCGTAGCGTGTTCCTGCGGCTTTGTCTGCGTTCTGCGTAAGCTGTACCGGTTCCCGGGACACCAGAGTTTGTAGCGGGTTCTTGCGCTGTGAAGTGCGAATGTGCTTTGTCCGCGTTCTGCGGCATTCATTCCCTTGATAAGGGAGTTGGTAGCGAATTCCAGCATACTTTTCTCACCATGGAACACTAATTTGCCGTGTCCGCAATCTTTGGTATCGGTTCCGGTTTCACATATTTTACTGTGCCCCCCCTTCCTGTGCTGTCACCAATTTTTGATATGTTGCTGGTGCACCCCAAACATTGCCTGCCCCATATTTTTCACCATTGATCTCCATTTTGGGTGGAGGTCCTTTCGGGACTTTACGGTGGTCATCGAAAAGTGTGAAGAAGATAGCTAGTGTTACTAGTGCAGTGTCTATGCCTGTGCAGCAAGGGAATTCAAGGCCGTATTGGGACGAACTGACATGTTGCACGGACATTGAAGACAATTCTGGAACTTAAAGCAGAACTGTAGGAGAGGCTCTAAGGAATCGTGCAAATTTTCCTATGTACATAGTATATGCTTCAAAATGCAGTTGGAGTGTTCGAAGTTGTAGCTGAATGTTGCAGGGGACGGTGGTGAGAGGGCACTTACGATAGATTAATAGAAAAGAGCTGTGGCATGTTGTTCGCACACATCATGCTTTTCCTCCATGGATATCGGAAATAAAAGCGGTCACGGATCTTTCATCACCTCTGCAGTTCAACCTTGAATTTGTCATAGGCTCGGTAGTCCAAGACAACTTCGCAATGACAGGCTAGTCTTGAACTGTGCAGTCTTCAGCACCATCCTGCTGCCCTTCTGTATGGTCTCAGTGCCACATGCTCAAAGCTCATGGAGTGCCAAGACACAATTAAAATTGACTGTGCTGAAGGAAGGGTAGTGGAAAGATCTTGCTGTCGTTTTGAGTCTTTGCAAGAATCTTCAGGCAAACTGTTGTGTTAATGCGGCTGTATTTTTTTTTTTTTCACACAATAAAAGTTTGGTGTAGTTGCTTTAGCACAGTAGACAATGGAAATTGATGTTGGAAAGAGTTTGGCGTAAATCGATTTGTATTGAAAATGTTCAGCACACGTGTCAGGCAGTGGGTAGTCTACTCCTATGTATAAAGTCTGGTCAGGTGCGGCACGTCTGACCGCCGAATTCAGAAACCTCACTCAAACTACACTCAAACTGAAGGGCCCCTCCACTTCCTCGAGGAAGGCGCGAGGGCCGGCGCTGGCCAATCGCGAGGACGGGTCCGCCGTCGCGATTGGCCAGCGTTCCTCGAGGAAGTGGAGGGGCCCTTCAGTGGGTGGTGCACGAAATAACCCAATCCCGATTCCCCCGTGTCGATATCCCCGCACCAAATTCCCCGCGTTATCTTCCCCGACCTCATTTCCCCCGGGTTCCAAAAACCCCGTGCCCCCCACCCCTTATCAGTTCCCCCCGTCCTCTGCCCCCAATTCTCGTTACGGGACGAAAGAAAAAGTGCATACCGAAGGTCAACAAGAACAAAGAAACCTCGAACGCGACCAGGTGAGTTCTATTTAAGGAACTTTAAACATTGGATGCTTCCCAGACGAGGTTGAGATGCAGGAGATGGAGGTCGAATTTTCAAAAACGGAAAAAGGGAAGGAGGCTTTAATACTAGACGGATTTAAGTATTGCTTTCAGCGGAAGGACCAAGATGAGAAAACTGCCTGGAGATGTGCTAAATACTGGACAAATAACTGCAAAGCAGCAGTTCTCAGCAAGCACGGAAAAGTCGTCAAGACAACACAAGGTGAGCTAATGACTTTCTTCTTTTACACACACCGCAGCGCACTATAGCAAAAAAACACTCACAGCTTACACATGAAGGTGTGAGTGTTGTTTGCTATAGTGCGCTGTGGTGTGTGTAATCATGTGCAACCAACTCGCCCAAGCTGCTACGTTAACAAGATACATTTCTTTTTTTACTTTCGCAAACTCTCGGATTGCTGTTCAGCTTGAAGGGCACTGAATGAATGAGGCTAAAATCTGCTGCGGCCTTTCATTATCATCACGTCGATGTGTTTCAGAGCACAACCACCCACCTGATAGCAGCCAACTTCGGGAAGCGCGACTAAAGAATGCATTGAAGCAAAAGGTTAGGCCGGAGCCGCATTTGCCAGCACCGCAAGTGTACAGCAGAGAGATCTTGAGCCTCGTGGGTCAAGTAAGCAAAAACATTGTCTCGTCTTTACATACTATGTTTTATTACACGCGTATACGTGTTCATGGTGTCCGCGATTGAACCTTGTTTGTGACGGGACCAGTTTGTTCTAGGTTGACGACACGGTGATGGCTGAGCTGCCGACTTTTGAGAGCGTGAGGAGCACCATGTACAGGGAGAAGAGAAAGCAGCAACCGAGCCTACCAAGGGACATGGCCGAGATTAACCTTGGAAGACTACATACGGAGACACTCGACAAGCGAGACTTCCTGCTGTTCGACGTCAGCATAAGTGCAGGCCGTGTTCTTTGCTTTTGCACGCAGGAGCTGCTTTTTCATTTTTCGGAAATGGTTGAAGTGTTCATCGATGGCTCAACGTTCAAGGGTTCCTGAGGCAGGTGCAGCGATATTGCGGTATCTAAGTAGTGGACATTGCTTCAACAAAACTGTATACATTAACATGTTAATAAATCTCCCCTAATTTGCAATATTGTCAAGCACTGAACTGACACAGGATCACGGAATAACAGTGTGCGTTGGTTTCAAAGAACATCGGAGGTGATCAACGGGCGTCCGTATCGTTTCGTCGACACTCGTTTCATCGACACCATGTTTCGTGAAAAAACTAGCTTCGCCGCACGTGCGTCACAGGGACCCATGTTAATCCAGGCGGACCACCCGTCACGCCGCCTCGCGGCGACAGACACAGGCGACTTATTACAAAAGGAAGCTAATCCGAGCTGTCGGTGTAACAAACTTTTGATGAAACGATATGTCGATGAAACGTCGTTCGATCAACTGATTGCCACTGGATAGAGAGGCACACAAAAGTTACAAAATGGGGGAATTGGATACGGGGGTGCTGGCGCTCGGGGGAGGCAAGACGGGGAATTTGACAACGGGGATTTTGACACACGGGGGAAATGGCACGGGGCATTTGGGAAGGGGGAACTGCCACCGGGGGAATCGTGCTACAACCCCTTCAGTTTGAGTGTAGTTCGAGTGAGGTTTCTGAATTCGACGGTGAGTGTACCGGAAATTAGGAGAGCTGCTAAAATGTGGCGATTGCAGATTTCTCTCAGTTTGATTGTTGTGGTCAAGACAGAGCAGCTAATGACAATGTACAGCTGCAACGGAAAAAGAGTGGCACAAGTGACCGACAACCGGAGCGGCAAAATGGCGACACGCGGCGCTATTGTTCCCGCGCGCCGATAGCGAGAGTGCCAGTCACGTTCCATGTCTCAGCGCGGGGGTGGCTAACAGAAAGCAGGCCGTCCTAACGCCCACATTTCGAAAGCTATCTTATCCCTCAAATTTCTGCCGGCCAACTCCACGTTGAAACTTTGAATGTGACTGGCACTGTCGCTATTGGCGCGCTCGGGAACGATGGCGCCGGGTGTCGCCATTTTGCCGCTTTGGTCATCGGTCACTTGTGCTACTCTTTTTCCGTTGCAGCTGTACTTTTCAGTGGAATCAACGCTTGTTTTCATTTATTCTTTTTGTAATATAGGGTTACATATTGGCTTTCCTTAGAAAGTTGGAATAGCCTAGACACTTTGTCCCCCCCCCCCCCCCCCCCCCCCACACCCATATCGTGCTTTTCTTCCATTTTTCAAAGTGCAGCTGCGGTGGCGCTGTCGACGGCACTGCGCATGCGCAGAAGCTTCAGTTCACTCGAATTCGGTTTCTGCGCATGCGCAGTGCCTACACCTGGTGTGGGCAAACGCGGGCTTGTTTGTAAACAGCGTGTCGGTCTATACTCTGTTTCACCTTGTGTTGTACCGCAGGAAAGGCTACAAGCGCGAGCTCCTTGCTCTAGGGCACACCTCGGCGGCACAGGCTCTCGTGCACCAAGGACAGCTGCCAACGCTATGAGCTCGCGCTTCTAGCCTTCGCTGCGGTACAACATAAGGTGAAACGGAGTATAGTTTTTCCAAATCAATCTAAATTTTAATAGGAACAAAAAAAATGCTTCTTGCTATTTTTGAAATAAGATGTGTAACAGTTTCTTCGCCTCTCAGTTAAATTTTGTTACTTCATAATTTTCGAGCTTGTACTTCTGTAATATGTCTTGACTGTGCAATTGCTCCTGTGTGGGAAGCGAAAACCAAGCTGTGACACGAGCTTGTTTGAGCCATCACCTTGTGTTCAACCAAAGCTATTAGCTTTTGCTTTTCACTATTGTTTTGGAGATCACATTTTAATGCATAGTATTCTCCCAGTGTTTTCTTTCCAGTCTTATGTGGGGCCTTAGCTATCATGATAACCAGCGTGGTTCGGTAGTGAAGTCAGGAATGATTAAAAACGGAACATTAATACCGAGGTTTTATGAGGCCTGGATTGCTGTACAATTATAGCAGGAGTAATAAATTGTTGATTAATTTCGGGTGGAGAATAGCGAGTCGGTGCCATGCCCTCATGCCCTGAGTGTGGCGTAAATACCGTGGGCCAAGTGGAAGCCTCCGCACACAATAGCGGTGACCTGCAATCGAAAAGCAGACACAGCTCCGTTAGGTAACTAAATGCAGCTTTTTACATTTAGCCACACTTTCGGTGTATTCAATACTTATTGAAGGCAATTTACAAACCAGCGAAAACGGAAACGAACTGAGAATGACAGAGCGAGCTGTGGGCTCCTTGTCTCAGGGTTTAGGTTATTACCATAGCCTCCTCTGTACTCACAAAGCCTGGCAGTTCGATGATGGAGTCATAGAGTGCCCGGTCGCAGATTTGGAGCGCGAGGATCTGGTGGCACAGCATTTCTCAGGGAGTCTGGTATTCAGCGCACAGCTTTTGCAGCGGCCAGGACCCGAAACATGGTTTTCAAACCCGACGAGAAAAGAAGCGGTAGCCCGAGGAACGCGAGAAGCACGAGCGGGCATTCCATCGCTTTTGAAAAGTGTGTTTCGGCGTCTCGCCGCAGCGGGGTGCACGTTACATGACTTGTCCGCCGCTTTACCTTTTCACTTTCGGCGGCCGCGTCACGTGACGATCTGCCAGGCTTTGTCAGTATAGACCAACACGCGTCCCTGACGTCACGCAGCCGCGGTGGCGCTATCGACGGCACTGCGCATGCGCAGAAGCTCCAGTTCACTCGAATTCGGTTTCTGCGCATGCGCAGTGCCCACACCTGGTGCAGGCAAACGCGGGCTTGTTTGTAAACAGCGTGTCGGTCTATAGAGGAGGCTAGGTTATTACCTTTCAGCTTGGCTTTACCACATGTAAACTGCGTGTAAATGACCACAGGAAAAAACAAAAATCCAGTGACGCTATATGTTAAATTCAGCGGGCTTGCGTCCCGCTAATTTTAGGAAACGACGGCCACGTGATCTGGTCACAAAGTTCTTCCGCTATCGCACATGGACGCGACTGGTGTTAAAACACGGTATTCGTCCAGCGCTCTATGAAAGACTAAATACATAATATTCTTTCCCTCCATAATGATATTACATTATTAAGTCAAATACTTAACTAGAGAGAATACATTCCACTCTGTTTATTTGCATTATAGATATTGACCTTATATACAGAGCGCTTCTAGCACCAAATCCTCCCCTAGCGGTGCAGACAGCACGCAACCGAGAGAACGCATGCGTGTTCGGCCAGGGGTGCGGCACCGAGGGAGAGGGCTGCCGCCGGCGTACCGAGATACCGGATTCGTCAAGACAGCAAAAACGGCTGTCTTCGCTGTCTCGAAGGCTGTCCACGGCGATAAATGGCGGCAGTCCCCCTTTCCAATTTAAATGGAAAAACTCGGATACTGCGCGCATCCATCCCTTTTAAAGGGACCATGAAATGATTTTAAAATCGAGTTTCATCCACCGCACGTCGTAAAAGGTGTGAAAAGAAACACAAAAACACAAAAATAGGGAGCCAAAAAAAAATATTTGCTATAGAACTTTTAAAAGAAAACTGGACTCTTTTGCGCCTTCCTTCATTCGCCTGTTCACTACGATGCATCCGCGGAAATGGAGCACGTCAGCCAAATCCAGGTCGCCTATTGGGTAAGAGCCTACCTCACCAGCACCGCGATCGTAAACAATAAATAGCCGGCGAATGTTTCCTAAAAGTTTTGTTAAATAATATTCAGATCCACATTTTGTAGCATAATTAGAGATGTGTGGCGAAAATTGCCAAATTTGATAATGCTGAGAGCCAAGCGCCATCTATCGTGTGGTAAACGAAGCAACTACTGCGCGTGCGCAGTAGGGCAGGGCCGACAGTTACTTGGGTGACGGCGACCGACGAACATTTATTTTCTTTGTTTTCCTTCCTCTCAAAACTCTGACTGACTGAACGTTTATTTTTCTACGTGTTCTTCCCGCGCGTGCCGACTTCAAGCAGCAAGAAAACAGTACTTAAAACAGACCATGACGAACAAGAACGCTGGATCCACCGACTCCGACGAAGCGAGCTGCTCAGAATATAGGCCTAGCAGGCATTCCGACTCGGCGCTGCGTTGCTTCGTCGCAAGACCGTCTGCCTATGACCGGCTGGCGTGCTAAATGGAATATGCCCGCGCGACCCTTGTGGACCCTTTTCGTATTATAGTTTGATCACTGACCTCAATTCTAGATTAAGAGGTGAGGTCAATCTCTTCCCCTTGTTTTCCGAGGCAGTGTTGACGAACACTCGTCGAAAAGGGACTCTCGTCGATTCTATCTTGTTTTGTGTGATATAGAGCTGAAATAAACGCCGTATGGATTACCTTCGTAACACGGTATGTACACTTTGTTATTGGTATGCCATTTTTATTCTGACAGACTGCACGTCACTGTCGAGCTATAACAGTTCGTGGGAGGTATACGTACAACCCCGGTCCAACCTTTCTTTGCCGAGTGTCGCGTCAGTATCGAGTTGCAATCGTAAAAGAACGGTCCCGAAGCGCTTACAAACAGCGCGAATACAGCACTTCCATCAAGCGCGCGCGTCCGCTCCGAGTGTAAACAGGTATTTACGTGGCTCTTGCTGACACTCGTAGTTCAAACGTATCTTTTTTAACGTCGGCTCGCTCCTGCATCTCCGAGGCCGCGAAAAACGCCATCTACGTCGCTTTGCAAACGACTGACACGGGCCGGCCCTTCTGCCAACAATGACAGGGTGGAGTCTTCACCGGAAGACTCGCTGCACTTCCCAACAGGCATACCGGCGTATGGGACTAGTCCCATGCTGTCGCTGTAGCGCAACATATCTCATTGAATTTCGCTCAGCTGCGATGCGGCGATGAGAGGCGCCGACTCAGGAAATACGTCGGTGACATCAGCGCAGTAAAACCTACCGGCGCACCCAACTCGTTGCCGCTAACACTCCCATTCTCCTACTGCCGAGAGAACTTCGGGTTCCGGAAACGGCCTACGTCACGGCTTGTTTTGCGGTCAGTTGGAGAGAATGAAAAAGTCGATATTTCAATAATTTTTTGTGTAGA